AATATATTATATGAATAATATATTAAAGGAGAAATCATATTGTTTAATTAATATTAGTCAAGAATTAGTTGAGAATTAATTTTGTGGCTAAAAGAGATTAATTAAATAAAAGGGACTGATACTGTAATTATAAGATAATTGCATAAATTGGGCTAATGGACTCCATAGAAGTTGGAGTGGATGAAATCTATGGGGAAACCCATTAGAATTCGTCGAAGGCCTCTAAAGAGGGAGTCCATGGGCTGCTTAGGGCCTAAGCAGTCAGATTAGGGTTTCCTGGTTGAAAACCCTAATAGCCTAAGTATAAAAGGAACCCTTAGGCCTCCGAAAATGGGTCCAACTCTTTAAGAGAAACCCTAGGACGTTTTTGGTGCCTCCTCCCTCTCTCCTTGTTCATCTTGTTGCTTATGGTGTTTGTGACTCCATTAGAGGTGCAACACTTGAGGCACTAAGCTTTCAGAAGTCAAGATCAAGAAGGATTGTGATTGTTATTGCTACATAACAATCAAGGTAATGATTCTACCCCTAATCATATGTCAATTTCAGATTTGTATGCTAGTCAATTAGGGTTTATTGCTTTGGTATTCAATGTTGTATGTTTACTTAGAAAAACCTAGATCAAAGCAATTAGGGTTGCATGAACACCATAGGAATGATGTTATGCTTATAATCCATCAATTAGCCCTTGGCCAGTCATTAATAGGTATTTTCATTTCTTTGGTTTCTCAACAAATATGTCATTAGAAATATTTGGTTTCTTAACAAATATGTCATTAGAAATAATCAGTTGTTTTTTGGATGAGTTACAAACGAATTTACAATTTTAGACTAGCATGTCATATTGTTTATTAGATGTCACAGACTCAAGACGTATACTAGGTCTTTTTTCTTCATTTTAAAATACATGTGTACATTAAATTAAATACAACAAACACTGATAATACAAAAAAAAAACATTAACTTACCAACTAACACGCCCCGTCCCTGAAAGAGAAGGCACATTTTCGACTCTTTAGAAATATATGGTTTCTCAACAAACATGTCAGTAGAAATAACATGTCTCGCCCTCAAGGAGAAGTCGCAGTTTCAACTCTTACCTCCGCTTTTTCCTTTTTCATTTTAAGTTATTACGTTTTAAAATATGTATTTGTGATTGACCAAGGGCTAAAACGAAATTTTGTCTAAAAAAACAATGGCAAATGGGGAACAAAAAAATGTTTGGACTAAACACAAACTTATACGTAAATGTTGGGGCTAAATGCAAACAGAAAAAATGTCAAACGGACACGTCATCATTACCTGTTGATGATCGGTCAAGGGCCCGAAAATGAAACGTTTTCTAAAATATAATGGCAAATGAAGAACAAAAAATAAAATTTGGGTTAAATCGAAACGAGGGTGTATAAATAATGGGTTTTAAGGTATTGACCCTTGAATTATTCGACTAAAAATACATTGTATTCGATGGTAAAATGCTAGTTTTGAGGCTAATTCTAAATATTCGACGTTTTCATCGACATCTCATTGTGGATGCTCTAAATAGAAAAATGAGGATGTGATTGAACACTATCCTTAACGATAATTACCCACCACTATGTCTGTAATTACCCACCACTATGTCTGGTTGGTGGATAAGATACTTTGATGATCTTAAATTACAAAGTGTGTACGCAAAAGGATCATACAATCCTTTCTAATGAATAATGTAGAAAGCATTGTTGTGTGATAGGAGAAAACCAATGAAAAAATCCATTCCAAAAACTTAACGGAAAATTAAACACCCCCTTTATATATGGTGCATATATTTCCTAATCGGTCACATATTCACTTCACTTCTTTTGGTTGACCACAGCTTCAACCCACGCTAGTTGTTTCTAATTAAATTGGCTATAAACATTTGGATGCACGGTATGCGATGAGTGTGGCCAAATGATTTTTGGCATTTTAGGCGTTGCATGATATTTACCATCATACCATACAATATTATAATGGGCTGAAATATTAAGAATTACCATTTTATCATATTTTTTGGGATTTCACATGGATTTGCGATAAAATGGTTTTGTATTTGTATTTGCAGTTTTTGGGATTAGTATTATTGTATAAACAACACCATTTTATCATATTTTTTGGGATTTCACATGGATTTGGGATAAAATGGTTTTGTATTTGTATTTGCAGTTTTTGTGATTAGTATTATTGTATAAACAACATTTAACCATTTTGTTGCGAGTTTGTATATATGGTTGATTGTTTTGATGTCAATCCAAATGTAGAGATCCTTTACATATTTTCCGTGTTTAGTTTATTATTACCATAAATTAAGGACATGTGTTATTTGCTTAGTATAATTTGCCATCGATGTATCTATTAAAGTAACATTAGGGTATGTTCTTGTCCATAATTACAATCGCCAACCTTAACATTGGATTATTTTTTCTTCTAGTGGTTTTCTTATGAAATTAGAAGGTTATTGAAAGTGCTTGGATAATTGACTAAGATAACTCTTTCTTTATCCAAATTCCATTCTTGTATAATGATATGCTACTTAACATGTTTCTCCATTGTACATGTAATGCCCATTGACCCTACAAGAGGGACAATCCTTTGACCTAAGTTATTTGTCGTGTTTGGTTGTTCGCAATCAAACTAGCCACATACAAAAGTGTACTCCAAATAAAACTTACTTCTATAATATTATGTCTAAGTCTTATGGCACTCATATAAATTCCAATTACACCAAATAGTTAACTGACACAAAATTATCGAGCAAAATTTACCCAAGTATAAGCTGAGAAAATTGATTTGTATTTAAATATTATTGTCATAACTAGGTAAATAACATTGTAATGGAAAGAAATAAAAGTATAATATTATAATATGTAAAAAAAAATAGAAGTCCATTGCTAATTTTTGCATTTAACCTTGGCCGCAAAAGTTTTGGTTGATTTGTCATTTTGATAACTTGTGGTTAAAAATGGTATCTAGGAGGTTCCTTGATTGTTATATTTTTATATAATCAATTAAAATTTCTTATTGGAGTACTGCAAAATTATTACTAAATTGCATAAGATACTTGAGAAAATTCGACAAAAATCAAATGAATCAACAATTTTATCAAATACGTCATAGTAATAAACCAACATGCAATTTTAGTTTTTAGGTTTTTTTAGACGTGCAACAACGATAAAAACTGGAATAGTTTAAGGGAAACTTTGATATTAACTAATAGTTCAGGGACTGAATGTATAATTTATCCAACGGATAAACTGTCACCATGCCCCAGCCACGGGTTTTGCAGAAGAAAGTGCAAATAATGAATGCTCTGCTTCTCCCTCCACCGTCCGCCACCACCGCTCGCTTCCTCCACGGCCTCAATTTCTCTCGACCATCACTCTCCACCTCCTCTTATAAGCACTCTCCTCTCCGTTCATCCGTCACCTCACTCTCCTTATCGGAAGACGATGTAGTTACAGAAGAGGACGGCGTTTCACCCTACTCCCACCGCCGGTACGACTTCACCCCTTTGCTCCAATTCCTCTCGAATTATAGCTCCGATGATAACGATTCAGCATACTCGGACCCAACCGACTCACAACTCGCCGAGTCATATCGATTAGTCCCAGCTTCACTATGGCATTACCTTCTCAAATCCCTAGCATCTTCTCCTTCTTTATCAACCTCGATTTCAACAACCTACGCGCTCGTTGATTGGCTCCACAAGCACAATCTCTGCTTCTCGTATGAATTACTGTACTCGATCTTAATCCACTCGCTCGGACACTCCGAGATGTTATACGAAGCTTTTTTGCTCTCACAGAAACAAACCCTAACTCCATTAACTTACAACGTTCTCATAGGTGCTTGCGCGCGAAACGATGACTTGGAGAAAGCCGTTATCCTGATGAACAAAATGCGCGGGGAGGGTTACCAGTCGGATTTTGTGAACTACAGTTTAATCATTCAATCACTGGTTCGTAACAACCAAATCGACTCGAATTTATTGGAGAAGTTATACGAAGAAATGATATCAGATGCAATCGAGCTAGATGTGCAGTTATTGAATGACATAGTTTTAGGATTCACGAAGTCAGGCGACGTTGACAGAGCTATGCAGTTTCTAGGTATGATTCAAGGGTATGGACTGACTCCCAAAACCTCCACCGTGGTTTCCATTATCTCAGAGCTGGGCAGTTTGGGGAGAGCTGAAGAGGCCGAAGCTGTTTTTGAAGAGATCAAAGAAGGCGGATTGAGACCTAGAACCAGAGCTTACAATGCTGTGCTAAAAGCATATGTGAAAAACGGTGATCTGAGGGATGCAGAGTGGATAGTGAATGAAATGGAGAAAAATGGTGTTTCTCCAGATGAACATACGTACAGCCTTTTGATTGATGCTTATGGAAACGCAGGCAGGTGGGAGAGTGCAAGAATCGTGTTGAAAGAGATGGAAGCAAACAACGTAAAGCCAAATTCATATGTTTTCAGTAGAATTATAGTGAGTTATCGTGACAGAGGTGAGTGGCAAAGATTGTTTCAAGTTCTAAAGGAGATGCAGAAGTGTGGTGTGAAACCAGATAGACAATTCTACAATGTTATGATTGATACATTTGGTAAGTACAATTGTCTTGATCATGCATTGGGTATATTGGAAAGAATGAGAAATGAAGTGATTGAGCCTGATAATGTTACCTGGAACACACTTATTGATTGTCATTGTAAATCTGGAGACCATAATAAAGCAGAGGAACTGTTTGATGAAATGCAGCAAAGAGGGTGTTTGCCTTGTATTGCAACATATAACATCATGATCAACTCATTTGGTGAACAGGAAAGGTGGGAGGGAGTACGTAGCTTGTTGAGAAAGATGAAAACTCAAAACTTGCAGCCTAATGTCATAACTTATACTACACTAGTTGACATATATGGACAATCCGGAAGGTTCATGGATGCCACTGAATGCTTGGAGGATATGAAAGCTTCTGGCTTGAAGCCAACTTCAACAATTTATAACGCCTTGATTAATGCATATGCTCAAAGGGTATTTTCGTATTTTCATCATTTAGTTTCTTGATCATTGTCACAATTCACAATCACATCTTCATGAATCATAATTAAAGTTTGTTTTCTTGAGCAGGGTTTATCTGATGATGCACTGAATGCATTTAGGATGATGAGAAGCGATGGTTTAAAGCCTAGTAATTTAGCTCTTAATGCATTAATAAATGCGTTTTGTGAAGATAGAAGAGATGTTGAAGCCTTTGCAATTTTGAGATCAATGAAGGAAAATGTAAGGGGATGTTTCTTTTTAACTAAACAAGCTTAATGAGTTCAGCACTTCAATATAAATTTGATATATTTTCAATAACAGGACTTGAAGCCGGATGTGGTGACATATACTACTCTTATGAAAGCTTTAATTCGCGTGGAGAAATTTGATGAGGTATTATCGGATTGGTAGTGTTAAAAAAGTGAAATTTGATTAAAGTTGAAAAATAGCCCCTTTAAAATACAAGATGTTACGTTTCAGGTCCCTGGAGTTTATGAAGAAATGATAATGTCTGGATGCACTCCTGACCGGAAAGCTAGGGCTAAGTTACGGTCTGCATTGAAGTATATGAGACAACGATTGAAATCACAAACCCTTTAGCCAGGGGTCACCACTTTGTGGGTCCTACTTTCTGTCTCAACAAATGAGCATACAGATAAAAAGCTTGTTACGTTTGTAGCATACTTGCACATAACTTGATATTGTAACATCAACATGCAACAAAACAACCATTTTTTGATACACATATTTGAAGTGACTTGAAAAATCATTATTACACAACTTTCTTGTTGTATTATTGATTTCATGGAGTAACGGGAGGCATATTGGATCTACTGCTACTACTCTTTGGGATCCTGGAACAGAACATAAACATCAACAAAATTGAAGATAGCAAGAACAGTCTGAAATATGTTCTCATCTCCTGCAAACCAATCTCAAGCAACTCTGTTTTTTCTGCATATCTGTTTTTCCTTTCTATTAAATACCCTTTCAAATAATCATCAATAGAGATCAAATTATCCACGTTAAAAGGAGCCCTATCTTCCACAAACTTCATCTTCATCTCATGTGCTCCCATTTCAAACATACTGAAAAATGCAGCAGACCACTCGTTCACAACTCTCTGCAATTTTTTTAATGTTATAACAAACACCAATTATTAAGTAAATTACAAATTTGGTCCCTGTTCAGTCCAATTTTTTTAAATCTTCCCAAAGTCGCCTACAGATTTGGTTTTTGTTATGCCATTGGTCCCATGTAAAATGACCTTTTTACCTTTATGTTATTTTTTAACTTTTTCAATTATTTGTGTAATTTGATATTATTATTAAATATGTAAGACTTCTTGAAAGGGGATGTGGGTTGTGGGTCCTACATATCTAATAATAATATCAAATTACACAGATAATGGAACCAGTACGGAAAAAAAAAAAAAAAAAAAACCAAACTTAGGAATGATTTCAAAAAATGGACTGAACTTGCTATTTTGAGTAAAGGTACAGGGACCATATTTGTAACTTATAACCGGAGCCACGTTGTTAATTATGAAATCAAAATTTTGTACATTGAAGGTAGGTTGGTCAACAGGATTGAACATTTTGAAGCAGTCTTTATAGGATGCTTTTTCATCTCCATATATCTGGCATTAATTAAACGATATATATATGTCACAAAATAACCATAAAAAATAGTGTTGTGGAGTTTATAAATCATAAACCTCGAATGTGAAAGCCATGGGGATGTTTGCAACTTCAAACATGTAATCTGTTGTTGTGCCATGTGCTAGATACCTATCAAACACATGTATGTATTATTATTAAAAAAAAAAAACATTGTGTTTTCATATTTTGAAAGAATAAGAAAAGGAAAAAAGGAATACTAAACTAACCCAACAGATCCTCCCCCTGATCCAACCACACAACGATCTTCACAGTGAAGGTGATTCAATGTTTCAAGCATCAACTTCATTTTCTCGGATTGCTCACCAGGAGGTGTAGTGTTTTTATGATCATAAGGCATAAACAGAGCCTAGAAAAAAAAAATTAAAATTAATCATAAAAAAAGACCAAAAGTCAAAGATTTTGATTGACCTCCATTCCAGAATGCACGTTGACCCACATATGTGGATGAAATGATCTTGAAAGCTTCCTCATCATTTGAGCTTCAGGCTCACTAAAAGGACCACTCCCTGGATTCTCTTCATTAGGATCAAAATCCTGAAATATTTTTAACTTTTAAGGTTATCATTTGTTTAACTAATTAAGGTACGTTGTTTCATATCATATAATCATATTCATAATCAGACCTTTTCTTTTTTTCCCCAATCTACACTCCAATTTCTATTGAGATCAACTCCTCTCCCTGAAAAGTAAAAGTTTAAAATCAATAATAATAAAAAAATTACAACATATATTAATATAAAACACTAAACTGGAAGAGAAAGACCATTTCTGCGTTCACAAAGCTCTCCAGCTTCAACCTTTTTGCGTCCATTCAAGTTTTCAATTGGCACCACCTGAGAGATACATAGAGATTAACATAATATAATATAATATAATATAATATATCATGAAATCTGTGAATGTTTTGTGTTCGTGAAAAAATATATTAGAAAAAGAGAAGGAAATTAACCTTTATAATAGTATTCTGGAGGGTTCTGTTGAGCAAGAGTGGATTCCTTTTAGGTAAAGTTTGGTCTTCACTCAAGATGTAGAGGATCTTGAGTGCAAGTTCAGATGTAATAAGCTCTCGTGCATGCTGCCCAAAACTCTGGAAGACAAGTAATCATCTGTCAAAAAGATCAGCTACCAATCATAACCTCAGACAACATAACATATTGTCTATATTTCCTTACATGTGATGTGATTTTGTGAATGAACTTACAAGAAGGATTCTGAACTTTGACTTGTCTTCTTCAATCTCATGTATCTTCTGGCAAAATGTAACTACATTGAGATCAGCCTGGTAGCCCCTGTTTGAACTTGTAAGTGTCTCCATCTGTTGGAAAGTCAAACAAGTGTAAATGCTAGAAAAAGGGAAGATGATGAAGATCAAAACTCACATGGAATCTATCTTGGTGACGATGAACCAGTTTTTTTATCTCTTCCATTAATGTGGCACTGAAAAAAGGAGCAACGATAAGCAAGTGTTATCTAAATTGATACTTCAAACAATGTCTATCATGTGTCATACAATCAACGATCGAGAAACAATTGCCCTAGATTCAAAGCCAAATGAAATGAATACGTACGTTTTTCGGTTTTTGGATAAATGTTAGAATAAATATATAAGACGCTGTGAAGAGGTGCTGAGTTTTACCTAGTGTGATAAAGATCACGAGTGATAGGCGTGATTGAAGGCTGTCGTTGTTGATGCGAGACATAATTAACGTTCCTTCTACAATCAACGATCGAGAAACAAGCATAGAACAATATCAAACAGAAGGGTAAAATCGTGAAACGGAGACGACGATGACGAATAGGAAAAAGCGCCATCTGAATCATCAAAATTCAACAGTTTCTGTTTCTCCCCATCAATTGAGGTTTACCAATACAGCAAGGTTTTCAACTTCGTGATCAATTGAAGTATGTATGAGAGTTGAATTCGGTTTCAAATGTAAAGAGAAAGAGATGGATCTATAAAGAGAAAGACATGGCGAATTTTGTCGGGTTAGTTTTCCTTCCAAGAGAGTCCGCTAGGTGTGTTTTTCTTTGGAAAACGACTATGACGCAAAATCGAATTATTTGGAATGTGTCTTCCTATTTTCGCTATAAGAATGCATTAACCATAGGCCTTAGTTGAGATAATCGTCAATTTTAAACAACGATAACATATTTGTCATTGACGTACCACAAAGTTGTTAATGAAAATCTGAAAATAATTCAAGAAATTTTCTGCCTACTTTTAAAAAAAGTAAGGTTTAAAAGTACCAAAAAATAGCAATATACTTTAAACTTAACATACATCAATGCTCTATTGAGAAATCTTCATCTCTTTCTAATACCTTTATGTTCGGTGGAGAGTCCAGACCGAAAGTCAACCGAGGTCCACCATATAATAAATACAATTAAAATAAAAAAAAGTTAAAAGTAATAAAAAAAATAGAATAACATTAAAACCTTGAACTAAATGTCGATCTACAATTGTTTTCTACAAGGTGCCGTAATTTGAAAACGATTCCTAAAATGTTCATTTTTTTATTATTTAATAAATTATCTGAAATTCGATTGTGCAAATCCAACTTCGCAATTTTCATCGTAGAAAAACATCTTTCCACGGTTACGGTTGCCATCGGCAAGACCAATGTCAACTTCACTAATCGATAGATCAAAGGAAAAAACTAATGAATTTTCGTTTCCAACAAAGGTGATATATACTCGTCAAGTTAGCAAATCTTTCATTTTGTTGCATATGAGTGGGGTTGATAGAAAGTTAATGGAGAATATTCATCATATCTAAATAACTAAAATCATTTGGACAACATCAATAACCTTTTGTAACTATGATAGGTCAAAGTTACAAAATGAATCAATCAAAGTCCCAAAATGAATCATGTAGATTCAATCGCGTCACACAAATAAGCAATTTGGATCTTACTTTACTAAAACGATCACCGAACTCTTGAATTTGCATATCCAACATTGCGTTAAAACAAAAAGAAAAATCTCTTAATAACATCGATTTTGGATATTGTCATGTTGTCATTGATATCTTGGATTAACATAATTTTCCTCCATGTTTAACATTTGAACTTTATTATTCTCACAAAAAAAAAAAACGATATCCAACATAAGTGCATCAAACCCCACTTTTCATTTGTAAGTGGGACCATTGTCTATGAACAAAAGAAAATATAAAGGTCACTTCCAAGTCGTGCATTACACTCCACTCTGCTTAAGATACCGTATGTTAATATAGATCCAAAATCTCAATTAAATCGCTATAATTAAATATTAGTAATTGCATTTAACTAATCATAAGACTAAAAAACATATAACCTTCATTCGTGAGTGTTACGAGTAATAATGTAAACATTTTGTTTTGGTTGTAAAAGTGGATGTGAAGAGTGTAAAGTTTAGATGTGTTTGTGAGAGTGTGACGTATTGTTGGTTGAGACTTGAGATGGGTGAGCTTTTTTTTTTAATTAGTTAAAACATTAAAAAAAATACAAAAGGAAAAAACAAATACATTTTAGGTTTTGACACCACAAAATCCATAAAAAAGTATTTTGTTTTGGACCAATAGTAAAAATTGAAAACTTTTTGTACGGTAAACACAAAATCTGAAAATGTCACCTAAAACACTATGAGACTATATTTATTGGTAAGTTTTCAGTTGGACAAAATTGCAAAAATGGTCCCTGTGCTTGGCAAAATTATGCGACTTTGGTCCAAAACGATACTTTGATGCACCACTGGTCCAAAATTGGATTTTTCCATTGTTTTTGGTCCCTCCCACTAACTTCCGTCCATATGCTCCGTTACCTGCAATATAGACGGGGGTATTTTTGTCTTTCCACCTCTATATCATCGATTACCGCCATATTGAATGATATACACAGTTAATGACCCTTCACTCTACCCACTAAACCCACTTTGTTGATCGAAAACCCTAATCGTTCATTGAAATCCTACATTTAATCATCAACCGCAATCGTAAGTTTGAATCCACGAGTATGCTCCAAATGTGGGAAATCAGGCCAAGAAATCAGTGTTTTGAT